TATATATATAAATATATATATATTCAAACGAAATCTCGTATACATGTAAGCATACCCCACTAGACGTGCTGTACCACCTACGGTTGGATATTTGCGTCCAGTCATTATAAAGCGCATCTCGCGACGTGCTCAGTATACATGTACAGTTTTTAATTGATGAAGCTTGCTTTATAATCGCGCGCTTCTGCACAGTGCTGCCTAAGCTTCGGACCATAAGGCCGAACCGAAGGTTTCTGCAACTCTGCATTTTGAGAAAGTAGACGATTGCCGGCTATATATATATATATATATATTTAGAGCTACAATTGTAATCTAATATAGGGGTTGTAAATGTTTACCGCTGGACTTGCATGCCTATTCCATGACCACGCAGATCATTAAGCTCTATGACTATCTGCGTGTATCGTTAAAAAATGTATTTCTAATCTTCACACCGTTATTGATTTTAATTTTATTTACATTGTTGTATTGTTGTCGATCCCGTGTACATATGTGCGCAGTACATATTTACCGCTATTTATGGAGTGAGTTTGAAACTATGAATATGTTTACTATTGTTGCATGTCATCAAAAATAATTCAGCATGGACTACCACCAAGTTCGGTATCCGTAGCAAATTTCACATGTATTCATGTCCCCGGATTAAAGAATTTGTAGCACCCGGAATATGCTTAATTGCTCACCTAAAAATCATGACAAATTAAGGGCAACCGTCAACCGTGATATTTTCTGATACCTGTGGGGGGAGTGAGAGGCTATTTATAAAATATACAATACTTGTACGAAAGTATGTATTTATGTAAATATTTTTGATTTTTATCTGGCTATGGCCTCTAAGGCTCTATGTCTATGGGGCGACTCGCCCGGACAGCCCGCGGCCCTGACGAGAGTACGAGAGTATTTATGTATGTGTGTACATACGAGGCTATGAGCAGCCAGGGGCCGGAGCCTGCCAGCCAGGGCTGCCAGGCCCAGCTGCCTGCTGGGGCATGCTAAATAGTAAATAGTAAATACTGTAGTGAATAGTTGCAGTCTCTATCTCTCTATTTATTTATTGCACTCTACAGTCTACAGATGTGACTCATGTGAGATGACTGCTCCATAACTTCAATCCGTTAAAAAGTGGTTGAATTTTAAAAAGTAACGTACATAAAGTCTTAAACGCCTATTTATTCGATTTATAAACTTTTTATTCACATATTTACATAGCCCTCAATATGACTATAATACGTAGAGTGCCATGCTTTTTAGAACGTTTACGGGTAAAAAGAGGCTGGACAGTAAATAAATTGTCTTATTGTGCCCATCAACCGTAAACAATATCAACAATGTCGGGAATAGCTACTAAAACACTGAACGTTACATAGGGCTCAATAGTTGCAACTATTAGCGCCTCTATGATATAAGCGTTGAACGCGTATATTTGTTCAAAGTTGAAGCTAATGTTTCACTTTTTAACGCAAAAGGCACTCTTGAGGGACTATTGAGTAAATCAAGAAAAGTATTTTATATTAAATTTACGTTGCACTGCTGCAGCGTTACTCCGAGAGAGTATCTACGACTCTACGCAGAGTTGGAAGTCATACAACACTAGATACCAAATAAAAATGAACCGAATGGATCTGGAATTCGATGCCGACGATGCGAACAGCCAATATTGAACTTTGCAAAAACTAAATACACAGTTCAAACTTTAAACGCACCACAGAAATGAGCCTAAACAGCTGATTTTGACCTGGCACATGAAGTTCATTTTATATAAAATATTTCATATACCCGCGCGTGTATTCAAATCAACAATAAAAACACTTTCCTGACGCATCACATGAATGTGAATCCAGCGCGTGTTTGATATATCGAGGGGTACGTCAGTGCTTTTCACAAGGCGTCTATAGCCTAATTTCTACTAGGCTATGTTGGCTTATCTACATAAATTCAAGTACTAGATTCTGTACAAGGTGTCTACACTATACTGTCGCAACCACCACATAGCATATATCATAGTATTATACAGCACTGAGTAAACCAGACTAAAATCGTTGGGAATAGTTTTATTCGTTATAATTTAGCTATCGCGCTCTTATACGGAAATATAACTAGTTCTAACATACAATCCATATCGGTGCGGGGAAGCATCAGCATGATCATGACTGATGGGCCGGGCAGCGCTATTGCATTCCGAAACAGTGATACCAGCGACATCAAGGATCAAAGCCTTTTAGACACAGATACAAGCTCCGCTGCACTGTCTCCCAAGAAACAGTCATATAACCGGGGTGTGAATGTTGTGGATTCAAGTGAGACCGAACCTGACGGTCACCCACTTGCCTTACTTGTACGTGAGGCAGTGAAAACGTATAATGATGATAATGATAGCGCCGGTGGAAGCAACGAAGGTTCTGATGGTAGTTTGAATACCCTGGCGAAGACTGATAGCGCTACTGACTGTGGGGACTCGACTGGGCTTCAAAAGCGTAAGGGCATCAACAACACCCCGCATCACGCACGGTCACGGTCGTACGAGGATTCTGAGCAGGAATATAGTGAAGAGAATGTGGAGTTATATCGGGGTGACGATGGAAACTTGGTAGATGGAGGTTTTACCCGGCCACACAGGTACAGTACATCATCATCTGTAGGAAATAACAGTAACACGGACAATAAGGCGCATACCAAAGCACGCACGAGGACCGCTGTCATTGGCAGTACATCGCACCATTCTAAGCGGAAGTCCATGCCTATGTCGGCGTCTCTATCCGCGTCGAATTCGTCGTTTGGGCCTGCGAGCCCTGTCAATACACGCCACGCCTCATACACACTCGGTCACAGTGGTACTAGTGGTCAAAGTGGTAGCGGTGGGAGTAGCAGGAACAACAAGCTCACACACCTACACACGTCGTCATCATTACCTCACCCGAACTCGAGCTCGCAGTCGCGTGCATCACACAGTTCTACGCTATCGAGCAGTGGTTTGCGTAAGGTGTCTGGCAATAGCCTGCATGCGAGCTCCTCTAGGCGGTCTCAAACCATTAACCCTCCTTTCCAAGGCGATACAAACCATTATGGCTATACACAACCGTACAGCCACACATCACACGGTAGTAGTAACAGTGGCGAAGCAGAGCCAGAGCCTGAGCAGAATAGCAACACGTGGGTATCTATGCCTATAATTGCCTCGGTCGTTCTCGGCAATGGTACGTTGTTGGACTTTGTTCTGTTCGTGCTGACCCTGGCCTGGCTGTACTATCTCATCACCAAACCCGAGAAACTCTACTCCAGCGTGCGCGCCGGTAAAGCGGCGATACGCAACACGCGCAACGAAGACGATGTCAGCGACGACGTGCGTGCCCTTACCTCGCTCGAGCGACGCGCCATATTCTTTGGCTTCATCTCCCCTTTCGCCGGGGGTGCCACAGTACATGTGCTGCAAGGCTTATCGAACGGCCCGTGCATGCACATTCTGAAACCACACGTGTTTGTGTTTATTGCGCTGCTGCGGCCGTTTCTGCTGATGTTCAGCGACTGGAACATCGAGGCCGATGGGTTGATCCGGCGCGCATTGCAGGAAAAGAGCAGCGGCCTGGATGACATCAGAATGATGAAGGAGAGCATCAACAAAGTCTACCGAGAGTCCAAAGCTCAGCGGGCCGAGATGTCTGAGATACTGAGTAGTTTGGATATGATGAAGCACCACACCGACATGCAGGAGGATACGATCTACCGACTGGCGACACAGCAGAGGAAATTGCAACGCGCGTTGGGGGAGGAGCAGCAGCAGCAACAACGTGTGCTGCTGCGCAGGCACTCTGAGATGGATAACGAGACCAATAACGGGATGCATGGGACCGAATCGTCCCAGTCTGAATACGCTGGAATTACGGACGACGGCCACGAGCACCGAAACTCGGGTATGTTTGGGCCGGATTCTATTACTGGCGACAAACTGGTTGAGGATGTGGATAGTGGCTACAAGACTGGGAAGGTGTCTGTATCGTCAGGAGATGTCGAGAGGGAGGAGAGTGTACACTGGTTAATGGGAAGTCTAGGTCTAGGTCCTGGAGAGGATTCATCTATGACGTTACTGTCCTTGTTCAGCATCGAATGGCCCAGTGTTAAGGCATGGAAAATCGTGCGGTGGGTGTACAGCCAATACACCAAGCCTTCGAGGCCGGCTATCACGGCGGCTTAGTACGTTTTTAGTGCGGTACATAATAATTATCGTGGTGTATATGCATATATATACATATATACATATACATATACATATACATATATATATATATATTTATATATATATATGCGTATACACCACGATAAATGTCTGTATCGTCAGATGTCGAGAGGGAGGAGAGTGCACACTGGTTAATGGGAGGTCTAGGTCCTGGAGAGGATGCATCTATGACGTTACTGTCCTTGTTCAGCATCGATTGGCCCAGTGTTAAGGCATGAAATATCGTGCGGTGGGTGTACAGCCAATACACCAAGCTTTCGAGGCCGGCTATCACGGCGGCTTAGTACGTTTTTAATGCGGTGCATAATAATTATCGTGGTGTATACGCATATATATATACGCACTAGCATGTACACGCAAGACACAAACACATACATACATCGCACATATGCATATATATATATATATATAATATATATATTTATATCTATATATATATATTTGTATATTTATTTGTATATATATTATCTTATATTATATATATATATATATATAATGCATATATACTATACGGTTGCAACTGTGTTGTGTATAATGTCAGTGATGACACATGACACAACATCCTTGAGGGGGCGTGGAAGCCAATTTCCTAGCTATGGAAAGAACATTGCAGTAACATATATGCACGAGAAGTCATATCCGCTTTCTATTAGACAGTCAATCGAAAAGTTAGTACGTCTAATGTCAAAGTGAAGAAACACATGTAGTACGAAGGAAACGACTTGGTGTACATTGAACAGCAACACGGGAGGCCGTGGAGGACTATTGACATGAAGGTTTAGCTCGATGTACTTGTCTTAATACGAGTTTCAAGTCTAAGGTACTATTTAATAAGGCAGGTATGAAAGTTGAGTCAGTACTATATTGTATAGTCAGCTCAGAAAGCCCTCGATGTCTGTCATGGCACAGCGTAGTACGCAGAAGCCAACGTTTGATACAATACACATGTTTCAAAGTTAGTAAGCTAAATAAATGTCACAATGGAAAGCGACGGGCGTATGTATGTAGGAACATAGAGGATAGAATTTGTCGGAAAGCATTGGCAGGCGGTCTCTCGTGTCAGGTATCTGGCAGCTCTCAAGACAGCACACTTTGGGTATTGATTGGGATAGTCAACCTTTTAATGTGTGTATAGGGATTGCAATCAGTACGTACTCTAATATATCACGAGATGTCGGATAAGTCGGCCGGCGCGATCGTCAACTCGACATCGCTGCCAATGTTTGGCCCGTATGGGCATATATACGTACTCACAATGATGCACATCCATACACCTACGTACTCACAATGATACACATCCATACACCTACGTACTCACAATGATACACATCCATACACCTACGTACTCACAATGATACACATCCATCACCTACGTACTCACAATGATACACATCCATACACCTACGTACTCACAACGATACACATCCATACACCTACGTACTCACAATGATACACATCCATACACCTACGTATTCACAATGATACACATCCATACACCTACGTACTTACAATGATACACATCCATACACCTACGTACTCACAATGATACACATCCGTACACCTACGTACTCACAATGATACACATCCATACACCTACGTACTCACAATGATACACATCTGTACACTCGCACGGGAAGCACGCGACTATACAAGTGTGTCTATCTACCAATGGTTTAGCCACGATGCCTGATAATATAGAAGGCAGCACCTTTATTAGAATGCACGCATATGAGCCATAGGGTTTACTGAGTGCGAGTACTGGTCAACAGAGCTTGCCATCATATTATACGTGTTTATTTATACGTGTTTATAAAGCGTTCTCGGGAGAGATGTCTGCTAAAGAGAAATTCATATCAAAGTGTACGTGTGCAGTACAAATATACATCGATTATGAAAGAGGAATAGTAGGTGTATACATAGTTCCTGTTGATTGTGCCTTAATAATGTCAGATGCCTATATAAGTCAATGTACGCATGATTCTCATACAGTAGTTGCCTACTTGCACGTCACGAGTTTGACGTCGCCACTGCTCTGGCCACGTGCTCACATTATGAGTGTTTGCTGATGAGGTTCTGCATTGCTGCCACAAAACAGAGTACACGCGCATATGACACAATCCCATTCGTTAGCAAGCTACTGAGACATTGGACGCTCTTGCAGGTCTGTTACAGTGAGCCTGTACGCATCATACGACAGCCATATATACTCATGCTGACTACCTATCGTTTTGCTGCCAGAATACGTTTGCACGCACAACACTTATCAGAAGGCACAGCGCCACCTGCGGGTGACGGTCAGCTACGCACACCATAGTACATCTTCGCATCAGTAAATGTTGGTTGAGTGTGTATGTTGTCTTCATACGTGCACGACGACGCCTTCATGTATGCCTTTTACAATAGTATGTGAACAAGTTCAGCACTTTCGTAAAATGACTTCATACTGTCGGGAGAAGGTTCCGTTGTTGCTTGCCCATAGAAGTGTTGAAAGACCACTTCATCAATTTCGTGTACCGTTCGTCCATTGATAGTATATTGCTGCCGCACCTCAATAAACGGAGTATAAACACCACACAATTTTCTTTTAGCTGCATACAATTGTGGTTCCTAGAGTCTGCATAGCCTCTACAGATTCCCAGGCAAGCACGGCACATCCCTTGTATCTGTTGACCGGCCGTCGACACGATAGTACAATATTGCCACACCTGCTATTCAATTGCACAGATTTATACATACGCGCCCATTCATTGCATGCTTCAAAGGTAGCTGGAAACAGCACCGATTCTACATACAGAGTCTCAACCAATCACACAACAGCCTCAACCAACCATAGGGTCACACAAAGCACTCTCACGTACTGGTCGGTTACTGACACGACGTCACATGCTTGCCGCACGTATTATTGTATTAACGTGTATGGGTTATCACACTTTTTGGTTCCCTGAAAGCGTTAAGGCAGTCAGAACCAGCGAGCCACACAACACGCTCCTGTTAGTGGCCAGTCACTGATACGATAGTACTTTCCTGCCGAGCTTTTATGTTGAACATCTAGATAGAATACTATTCTGTCCTCTGCATGTCTTCAAGGTGGTTAGAATCAGCATCGATTCTACACACCGTGGAGACGCACAACACTCTTGTGTATTGGACAGTTACCCAGACACGATAGTACTACCCTGTTGCACTTTTATGTTGTGCGTATAGGTTAAACACTAATCTGTCCGCTGTGAGCTTTGAGATGGTTAGAATCAAATCAGCGTATTCAAGAACATAATAATCCTGCGCCAACAACAATGTACGCGACCTTCTTTATACGTTTCGTCTGCATAAATACATAGTATGGTAGGGTACAAGAACATTTAGCATATGGTAGAGTACAAGACCTTTCAGCATATGGTAGAGTACAAGCACGAACACAAGTGTGCTTGTGTTGCATGACAATGTACAGAGTCGATATCGACCAAAATCTCTTGGGACCTAAGTTCACATACAATTTGTCTGCAAAACCAACAATGTACTGCAATCAGTAAGCATACGGGTGTGTATGTGTTCGTCTCATGATACACCTTCACTATGCAGGACTGAGTTACATATGTACGAGGCAATAGAGAGAACGTAGTTTAGTCCATTATTCACCACATAGCCTTCTTGTCGTTTCTAGAGGGCTTTGTCCAGTATGTTTCCTATTTGCCGCACAACCCTCAACCTATTAAACCCAAGAACTCTGACCCAAGAATTCGTGACAAACACAATGTATTAAACCTCTGGAGAGTGTACAATAATAACCTCCACCTTTTGGAATAAAAATACGTCTCGAGTTATTTTATCTACTCCACAATGTGACTCCTAATACGAAACTTTATCACAACCTGTCCCGCCTTTCGACAATGGTGAAAGCCACAGGCAGTAACACTCTTTCCACTGAACATCTTCTCAGACATAAGTTCAATGTCAACTTCAGCTATTGGAGTATCAGTCGTCACTACGCCAATCCTCTTGGTGCCAATGTGCATCTACATTGTATATAAAGGATCAATATCTTCTTGTGTAAATATACCGCTAGGCAACGAAGTCATATTTGATATAGGATTGAAAGCACGAGTAGAAGGCATATGTACCATGTATCAATACTTCAGATATAATGATAACCTATATGTCACCGAAGGAGGAGAGGTGAATGCTATAATCAACGAGTATATGTCACCGAAGTGAACATAACATTGTACAGTGCCATAATTTTCTTGGATTATTTGGTTATGATCGTACCCATGAGATATCACATTGTCAATCCAAGTAGGCACCTCTCCAAGCGACGTGACAAGACAACATATCACGTGTGGGCACGCTTACATCATAGTACCAACTGCGAGAAGAGAGTGGTCGCCTATTGGCCATCATAGCTGGACCAGAAACGCTGCGCTCGAGCATTACAAGCTCTCTATCAACACCCGCTGCGTACCTGTGTATCTACCGCGCATAGAGCGAGCTACTATAGCTATGGTACTGACCAAGATACATTGCTACTTCCACGGCCACACGTTCTCCGTAACGAGATAGTCTGATGTCAAGCCAACAGTGCATAATTGTATACATGCGAGATAGTCTGATGTCAGACAACAGTGCAAAATAGTATACATGCACCATGCCAGTTCGTTGAGCAAGCGGGAGCGAAACGGCCCAACTGAAGCTGAGCTGAGGGTTATAATGAATATAGCACTCTGTAACCGAACCGCCGAGAATATTGTCGACGAGCAATAGGGGACAAGGACCAAAGCACTGAATTATCTATTTAATAGCGAGATATACACATATGTACATATCGATCCTCTCGTGGCCTATATACATCTATGCCATTCGTTTACGAATAACCAGCTCCATGAAACACCAGTGTTTCACTTCCATCGATACAAACGCCTACCAGCCCGTTGAGATCCGATACCTATTAATCTATGACAGCTTGGACGCTTTCTTATACAGAAGATCAACCACTTTGCCCATGTGTTCGATAGTTTCTTTGGTGGAACCATACATGGGGTCTGTCTTTGCCTCATCGTATACCATAAGACAGCCAGCACCTATATTTTGTTCGTGTGTAGTGTATGTGACGATGTAAGAATGTGACGAATGCTTGAGTGTATATGCAGTGCAAATTGATCATAGAGATCATGCGTGTACTTGCACGTGGATGATGGTTTGTATGTAGTACACGAGCCAGAGCTCATAGTAATCTCGCTACTCTCTGAAAGGGATTGTGACTGTAAGCAAACTGATCGATATCCAATTACCCGCCCAAAAAAACAAGCCAAAAAAAAACAAAAATGTGCGCATATACACTGGCAGAGTGACCTAAAGTCGCCGGAGAGCGTATGCTGACAACAGAAGACTATCGAGTTCAATCAAAACACGGCGGTAGCTGGCAACACAGCACTCTTGCGCAATTAGCACTTTCGAGAGTTACATCGAGATTGCAAACGTGTGTAAATACACTAGATTGTATGCGTGTGTGTAAATACAATAGATTGTATGCGTGTGTGTATATACAATAGATTGTATGCGTGTGTGTAAATACACTAGATTGTATGCGTGTCCGTAAATACAATAGATCGTATGCGTGTGTGTAAATATAATAGATTGTATGCGTGTGTGTAAATACAATAGATTGTATGCGTGTGTGTAAATACAATAGATTGTATGCGTGTGTGTAAATACAATAGATTGTATGCGTGTGTGTAAATACAATAGATTGTATGCGTGTGTGTAAATACAATAGATTGTATGTGTGTGTGTAAATACAATAGATTGTATGCGTGTGCGTAAATACAATAGATTGTATGCGTGGGTGTAAATACAGTAGATTGTATATCTGTGTGTAAATACAATAGATTGTATGCGTGTGTGTAGACACACTAAAAATTGTATGCGTGTGTGTAGACACACTAAAAATTATATGCGAGTGTGTAAATACAATCACGTGCTAAACTAACATGACACGGGTCGTGCCCGTACGTGCCTTGCCAATATTCCAACTTTAAATCAACCAGTTACAACATTAAACAGACCCGGATATTTCAAAACCAACGAGGAGATGCACTCGTTGGGACAGTGGAGTGCGCGGATGTTACATCTGGTGGGTGTGGCTACTATATCCACTGGCATACGTCGTATACATATCACGCACCTTGGTCCAAAATGCCCACAAACTTGCGATCCAGAATCATCTTCGACAGCTTATCCTCGACCACCTTCGCGGGCAGCTTGATGAGGTGTGCCAGATGTGCGATCTCCACGCACGAGAAGGGCTCGATGATGCGGCACAGGTTGTTCTCCAACATGGAGTTGTAAAGGTCATTGAGGTGTGTCTCGATGATGGGGTCTCCCGTTAGCTGGTCGAGATAAGAGTGTGCGTGAGTGTGTTGCGGTGTGCGTGCTATAGTGTACTGTGGCTCATAAACTAATGGGGTGTTTGCAAACGCTGATACGTGCACCATCTGCGGGGGTTGTACTTATAAAGATGTACAAGTAATACGAATACACATAGATCATAACACACGCTTAGTCAGAACGCGGCACAGTTCAAAGTATTGAGCCCAGAGGTGTTAACTAGGTAACCGGATCACACGCCAGCTGCAGTGCCTATCAGTCAATTTATATTTGGAACAGCGCACACACGAGCAAGGGCCGGATGAAACCTGACACTCCTTTGGTGGTACTATGATTTTTTTTTTCTGAAGAAAAACTGGCGGGTGATTGTTGCTACTCTTCCCAGATCAAACTCCACACCACATGGCTGGCAGATATGGGCCAATATGAGACTGAAATGGACAGGATCACACACTGCCACCTGCAAACATACGTATGTTCATCCATACCAGTGCAGGCGTAGTACACAACCGCATGTATTCTTACAGAAACACATTTATAGACACACACATATCCTAGACTCGCACGCACACACATTAACAGTCGTACGTAGGATGATCGATAAAAACGCGTATATTCTCATACGCAAACAGCATACACTCGTGATTGTGTGCATAGGCACCTGAGTACTTATAGACCCTTGTTACACACACCAACGAAGACACAAGTAGGGCATCAGGCGCCAACCTACCTCTGTTTTGTACTGAGCAAGCACTTTCTCGAACTCTTCCAGAGATCGGTTGTGATGAGCGGTGGCAACGGCACGCATGGCGTCGATTTGTGGGCCGGAGTACTTCAGAGCCAGCTTTCCACTGATGATGGAATGGACATCCTACAACAGCCCACACGGTAAAGACAAGAGGATTAAAGAGAGTCCAAGAAGACCTGTGCCTGGGTCATATGCACAACTGTGCTTGTGATAGTATGGTTTAACTCGTAGAAACGTGGGAAGCTCGGGTGAGACCTATTTTGTGCTGGATTGATTGTACTACACGGGGATGGACTGGTACATACATATGGCATCAAACAATGGAGACCTCACACGACACACCTGAACACAAGCACGCCTCCGCACACACACACACACATATATATATAT